CCTCTGATTTTGATGCTGTTCTGGACCACAAAAAGGATACTGCAGTTGGTCCATGGCCTGCTGGTTTATGGTCCCCATGCTATTGTACACAAAGGTGCTGCTCAGCAGTATTGCCAGGGCAAAGATCCAGGAGTCATTTTGGTTGTCACCCTGGAAATCAGAACACATTTGGGTCAGGATTATGTTTTATTCTCATGGCACTTTCCAGATCAGCAGTAGTAAACAGATGCTCATTTAGTCGAGTGGCTTTTTTTAGATTAATGTCTTATAAGAGGAAAACAAATCCAAATGAAAATAGTTGTTAGTAGGACTTGGACTTTGAATAGCCTTCTGATTAGTGTTTTTGGTTACACTGATTCTCACTAGGTCCTCTTATGACCATTCGCAGATAATTGCATAACAAATAGTCCAGATTGGTGGGCACTCTAAAGCCTTAAATGTAATTTAATTTTCTCTATGTTTTTGCAGCAAAATTGACTTATGTAAGAGTAATAATACTTATAGCTATTTTATCTAGTCATTATTATTCACCTTAACACTTTCCATTCTTATTAAATAGTCAAAACAATACTATGAGGCAAATATAGACCATTTGCATTGGTTTTACAGATCAGAAAGCTGAGGGTAAAAGAAGTGAACATATTTGCTAAGGCCACTGTGTTAATGACAGAGTTTAAATTTAAACAACAGTTTAGGACTTCTGAACATTAATCCTTAACTAAAGTTTTCTGTAGGATAGGACTCATGGCTGATTTTGTTTGTGGTACCTTTATGCATCTGTGTTAACTGGCTTAGCTTATAGCTTCTTGTTAATAATTAGAATACTACCTAATGACCACTATGCTCTTTTAGGATTCTGCGTTATATTTTCATGATCCCTGATTGCAAAACTTAGTCACTAGCTCGTAAACAGAAATGAAAAAAAAAACAAAACACCTATGGTTTACTGCCAGCTCTTATTTGAATAAAAATTAAAATAATAATAATAAAATAAAAAAAACAAAATAAAAAGTATTAAATAGTGTAGTCAATACCCAGAAAGAAGGGATTATCTCCATATTGAATCTTTAATACTTACCTTCTCTACATCTCCCAGCCCTTCAGTGTCAAGCAGAACTAAGGTGTAGTTTGGTTTCTTAGGGTGAGGCACACACCACATCCAGATGCCTTTGGTGTGAGACTGAACCGTGGAGCCCAGAGAGAAGCCTTTAGTGGGAGAAGAGAGGGAGGGAGTGGAGTTTTCATAGCAGATGTGTCTTAAAATGGAGATAAACGTGAACATAATCAAGGTAAGGAGAGACTACCACCAGTAGCCTGGCTGGCGTGGCTCGTGGTTGAGTGTGGACCTATGAACCAGGAGGTCATGGTTTGATTCCCAGCTTGGGTTGCGAGCTTGATCCGCAGTGTGGGGCTTGCAGGAGGCAGATAATCAATGATTCTCTCTAATTATTAATGTTTCTATCTCTCTCTCTCCCTGTCTGAAGTCAATAAAAACAAACAACAACAAAAAACACCACATGCACAGCAAAATAATAGGTATGGGCAAGAATGTTGAGAAATTAGAATCCTGTGCATTTCAGGAGAAATGTAAAATGGTAGAGTTGCTGTGGGAAATGATACTGTGATTCTTTAAAAAATGAAGCATAGAAGTCTAGGAAAATAATACAAATTATGCTTTTAAAAGGGAAATTAAGGAAAGTGGGAAGAGACAGAGAGTTGACTCTTTCAGACCACAGTAAGGTAAGAGCATAATGATAGATTAAAAGTTAGCTTTCAATGTTCCTCTCCATCTCTACCTTGCTCTTCTTGTAACACATACTCAAAGGAGCATGGGGAGACAGAAGGGATCTGGCAGAGCTTAGCTGGTGCCCCTCACCTTTTTGCTGCCCAGCCAGCTTGTTCATCAGGTAGGATTTGCCTGTGCGGTAGAGACCCACAATGGCCACCACCACAACAGGCTGTGTAATGGCAGACAGGATCTTCAAAGCTTCTGGATTAACCACTAGTTGCGTGTTAGTGTTCTCAATGAGGCACACTGGGCCTGGCATCTGGATGTCTGAGGCCATGTCCAGGGTGTCACCTTATCTGCAAGTGAGGAGATGGGATGGATTAGAATTTCCATTCTAAGTAGATCAAGAACTTTCACCAGGTTATTTTGATCCAGAAGGTAGAGTCATAAAATTCCCCAACATGGCCAAAAGTTCTGTGTCCACAGTGAGATGGATGAGGGCAAGATTTGTATTATTTTGGAAAGTTACAGAAGTGCAATTAAAGTAGTCTATTAAACAAATATTGGTATGACAAGGACATCAACATTTAACCACTTTCATGAACAAAATCTTTAATTTACCATAGAAAACTTTCTTTTTAGATTCTCATTAAAATTTTCAGACTAGAGCCTGCCTGGTCTGGCTCATTGGTTGAGCGTGGGCCCATGAACTAGGAGGTCAGGGATCAATTCCTGGTCAGGGTACATGCCTGGGTTGCAGGTTGATCCTCAGTATGGGATCCATAGGAGGTAGCCAATCAGTGTTTCTCTCTCATTATTAATGTTTCCATTTCTCCGTCTCTCTTCCTCTCTCTAGAAATGTAAAAAAATTTATTTGCAGCCCTAACCGGTTTGGCTCAGTGGATAGAGCGTCGGCCTGTGAACTCAATGGTCCCAGGTTCGATTCCAGTCAAGGGCATGTACCTTGATTGCGGGCACATACCCAGTGGGGATTGTGCAGGAGGCAGCTGATCGATGTTTCTCTCTCATCGATGTTTCTGACTCTCTGTGCCTCTCCCTTCCTCTCTGTGAAAAATCAATAAAATATATTTAAAAAAATTTATTTGCAGGACATTAAATATAAAATAGAATAGGGTTTAGAGAGTAGTTTATACCCTGGCCATATGTAAGAAATTTAATATTTATTTGTTAATTAATTCTGTTATGAATAAAGACTTTTGGGAATAAGTATTTCGTCATTTGATGTATGCTTTTTGGACAACATTCAGAGATTTTTGTTGTTGTTGTTAATCCTCATTGGAGGATATTTTTCCATTGATTTTTAGTGAGAGTGGAGGGGGAGAGGGAGAGACAGAGAGAGAGAGAAACATCGATGTGAAACAGACACTTGGATTGGTTGCTTCCTGCACATGCCTCCGCCGCAACCATTCAATCCACCCTTCATCCAAGGGTCGACACTCTAACTGCTGTGCAAAAACAGCCAGAGCATTTTTCAAAGATTTGAAATGTGTGTTTTTTCTTCTAGTTGTGCTTATTTTGCAGAAGTGAGGGTTCACAGAACTGTTTATACTGGTATTCTGGAAGTGGAACCAATATAATGTACATTTGCAAATTTTATAAAAATGTATGACTGTATGAAAAACAGGGCTAGAGACCTGCCCAAAGCCTTGATATGGGCTTGTGCAAGCAAGGGGCCCTATACTTCAACTTCATTAGCTTCACAAAAAATTAGCCCCAACTAAAAGGGGATAAAACTGCACAATTACGAATACTGAATGTTGCCAAAAACCATGTTTGTGTATACATGTGTGTGGTGTAAGGGAACCAAAGACTATGAAATATGGATTAAAAGATCAGGAGAGCTAAGGAGAAGGTTGTCCGATGAAAATATATTTCAAATCATACACTTGTAGATTTTCTGTTTTGTTCTCTTTCCATTTGGTTGAGGAGAAGGAGAAGCAGGAAGAAGATAAGAGGGGAGAAAACTGCGGAGAGAGAGGGGGAGGAAGAGCTGAAAGGAGAGAGAGGGAGGGTTGTCAGAGAAGTAGGTGATGATTAAAGTTCATGCCAAGCCAAGGAATTCAGAGGCAGTTTCCAGAAAGCAAGAGCAAACCTGCTTGACACCAACTAAAAGGGGATAAAACTGCACAATTACGAATACTGAATGTTGCCAAAAACCATGTTTGTGTATACATGTGTATACCCAGAAAGAAGGGATTATCTCCATATTGAATCTTTAATACTTACCTTCTCTACATCTCCCAGCCCTTCAGTGTCAAGCAGAACTAAGGTGTAGTTTGGTTTCTTAGGGTGAGGCACACACCACATCCAGATGCCTTTGGTGTGAGACTGAACCGTGGAGCCCAGAGAGAAGCCTTTAGTGGGAGAAGAGAGGGAGGGAGTGGAGTTTTCATAGCAGATGTGTCTTAAAATGGAGATAAACGTGAACATAATCAAGGTAAGGAGAGACTACCACCAGTAGCCTGGCTGGCGTGGCTCGTGGTTGAGTGTGGAGGTCAGGTATACAAAATGTTGGCTTTAGCAATGCAGGTTCTTTTAAGAGAAAACTTTTTAGTAAAATAGTGGGGCCAAATTCTACTTGTAAAGGGGTAAGAAAGAAGTTGGCCCAAAGAAATTGGATCTAGTGTACTGGGGCTATTTTTTATTTTATTTTATTTAAAATTTGTTATTTTTCAATTATAGTTGACAATCAATAATATATGAGTTTCAGTGTACTACATAGTGGTTAGACATTTGTATACCTTAAATGGATCTCTTGTATGTGTCTAGTACCTACATGTCAGAATACATAATTATTACATTACTAGAGGCCTTGTGCATGAATTCATGCATGGGTTGGGTACCTTGGCCTGGCCGGCAATTGAGGCCAATCAGGGAATCTCATCCCGTCCTGATCAGGACCTATCAGGGCTCGCCGGCCCGGAGTATGGGCCATGTGACGTTGGCTGTCCAGCCATGGGAGGGGCTGCAGGGGGTTGGTCAGCTGCAGGAGGTTGGCTGTGGGAGCACACTGACAACCAGGGGGCAGCTCCTGTGTTGAGCCTCTGCCCCCTGGTGGTCAGTGGGCATCATAGGGACCAATCGGTCTGGTCTTTCTGCTGTAATGGTTGCTTAGGCTTTTATCATACAGACTAGAGGCCTGGTGCACAAAATTTTGTGCACTCGGGGGTCCCTCAGTCTGGCTTGTGCCCTCTCGCAGTCTTGGACCCCTTTGGGGATGTCCACCTGCTGGCTTAGGCCTGCTCCATGGGGGATCGGGCCTAAGCTGGCAATCAGACATCCCTCTGGCAGCCTGGGAGCCCTCGGGTGATGTCCACTTGCCAGTGGGGAACAGGCCTAAGCTGTAGTCGGACATCCTTAGCGCTGCTGAGGAGGTGGGAGAGGCTCCCACCACCACCACTGTACTGGCAGCCATCAGCCTGGCTTGTGGCTGAGCAGAGCTCCCCCTGTGGGAGTGCACTGACCACCAGGGGGCAGCTCCTGCATTGAGCATCTGTCCCCTGGTGGTCAGTGTGTGTCATAGTGACCAGTCATTCCCAGTCTTTCTGCTGTTTTGGTCAATTTGCATATTATCATTTTATTATATAGGACTAGGGGCACAGTGCATGAAATTCGTGCACTGGGGGGGGGTCCCTCAGCCCAGACTGCCCCCTCTCACATACTGGGAGCCCTCAGGGGATGGTCTACTGATGGCTTAGGCCCGCTCCCTGCTCCCCTTGGAGCCGGCTCCACTCCTGGCCAGGCCTGAGGCCTCTGGCTGAGGCCTCTGGCCTGGGCAGGGGACCCCCAGCCCCCTCCCATAGCAGGCTCCACCCCTTCCCAGGCCTTAGGTCTTTGGCTTGGGCAGAGGACCCCCAGCCCCCTCCTGTATCAGGCTCCACCCCGTCCAGGCCTCAGGTCTTAGGCCTGGACAGGGGACCCCCAGGCCCTCTAATTGCCGGCTCCACCCCTTCCCAGGCCTGAGGCTTCTGTCCGAGGCCTCAGGCCTGGGCAGGGGACCCACAGCCCCCTCTGATTGCTGGCTCTGTCCCTATCTCCTCTGATTGCTGGCTCTGCCCCTGCCCCCTCTGATAGCAGGCTGAGCCCCTCCTCCCCTTCCCCCCCCACCTCCCCTGCCACATGCATGGCCAACAGGCCTGGACACTTCAGCAGCGGGGCTCGGAGCCGCAATCTTTGTGACGGAGTGATGAAATGATGACAAATTTGCATATTACTCTTTTATTAGATAGGATTATTGACTATATTCCCTAGGCTTTACTTTACATCCCTGTGACTGTTTTGTAACTGCCAATTTGTGTTTCTTAATCCCTTCCCCATTTTCACCAGCCCTCATCCTTCCTCATGTCTGGCAACCAGAATGTGAGTTACTTTTAAGTGAGTAATCCACATTGAAACAAAGCTCATCTATATAACTATAATGCATAGTGTTTTTGTGAATCTTCATCTTTCACTCTGTGTTTCAGGTTTTTCTTTCTTCGTTTTTAACAGTGACAGGTGGCTGTTTATGCTGCATCTCATTTTCTATGCTTCTTTCTCATGAAAATAACATATCTGTAGCCCTTTCAGTGTGTCAGCTGCAGTCAGATCAGAACTGAGCAAGTTTCATTAAGACAACGGTAATTTAACTGTGTCTGCATCCAACACAATGTTGGCAAAGAGAAAGACAATCATAATGCATTTCAAACTCTGAGCTTAGCCGCCCCGTGTCTGATGCTGCCTAATTACTCCAAGCACAGTAGTCACACTTAGGGATGCCCTGATATGGCCGGGATTGAACCTCACCCCCTGTCGTACATGGGCTCTGCTACAACCTATCTTCATGCTTCAACCTATCTTCATCTTTGGAAAATGAACTGACCCTTATAAATCCATCCCACCCTGCCTCAACCTTACCCTGGACTCCATTTCTCAGAGTACAGTCCTTTAGAGGTGGAGAGAAAGCTGCTTTGATGAGAAAATAAAGTTCTTACCTTTTTTTTTTCCTTAGTGTAGGCTGGAGTGGTTTGTTACTTCTCTGCCTTTCACTGGGTGCTTGGGCTTTTATTTAAACTCCGATGTGACGTGGCTGTCCTGACCTCCTAAAGTACTGTATTAGAAATGAAGGATTTAGAGTAATGTGAAACTGAAAGCACTGAGTAAAAAGCAGTGACTCAACAACCATGAAAGGAATCTCTGCAAGCTATGCAAACGGGAGTGTAGATGGATTTTACAGGATTTCGTAACTAGTTCATGACAGGCCAGCAGAGGACATTTGGCTCAGACGGACTAACTAGAAATCCCAAAGAATAAAGTGGCCGCAGCCTCATTACATGGAACAACGTGCAGTAACCCTATCTGGCTCAACAGGAAGGAGTCCCACCCAGGGCGAGACAGCAGGTCAAAAAATAACGGCAGCTTACAGCCCACAGCCTCAAGGGCCAGCACTAATCGGGTTGAAGGACAATGGACTCCATGTAATCAGACTAGAACACTTACATCCCCCAGCCCCTGCCCCTTGCAGTTTTGCACATAAAATTCAACCCTGAGGACAGCGGAGACTGCGTGCTAACCTTCCCTGGTTGTGGCTCCATCCCCCCATTCCCTCTAATAAACTTCCCTCCTGCTTGCTTGCTGTGTCTGCCTAATTCCTTGAGTGACAACCTTCTCTGGTTGTGGCTCCATCCCCCCATTCCCTCTGATAAACTTCCCTCCTGCTTGCTTGCTGTGTCTGCCTAATTCCTTGAGTGACTCTAATCTTACAGTTCAGTTTGACAAATGCTCCATTGCTGGTTCCTGGTGGGTGTAGTTGACAAGATGTGGCTCCCTCTTCCCTCTTTCAAGCAGGATAAGCTATGTCCCTGGGAGAGGTAGGCACCAGTATTTCTCATCCCCTCCAACACTTAGTTGCAGACAGTGGAGGCTGGGACTCCCAACCTGTATGTGGAATCTAATGAACAAAATAAACTAGATTCAGAGAACAGACTGAAGTGTGTGTGTGTGTGTGTGTGTGTGTGTATA